CTGCAGCAGCTCGAAGCTTGCTGTCTTCGTACTAACGCCTCTGTAGAAAAGAGGAGAACGCTTGGGTTTCTCAGAAATCTCATCGAAAGACTTATTGTTTCTGGCTGTCTTTAATTGCGTTTTGTGCCCATCCTTGACCCAAGAGCTATACTCAGAAGGATGGGGTGTATTCGTTTGGTTTTGCCCAGTGAGGGCTCACCCCCGGAGCTTGTGAGTGGAGAGAGGGAAATGGTGCTGGACATAAGTTAGTTAGCACTGACACTGATTTTTCCAGCTGCTATTAGAGTTGCACACGCTACCCGCCCATTAGTCACGTAGTAGCCGTCCTGGTTATCGGGTGACTGTTGCAGTGCTTGTATTCAAGTCACCCTTGTTTTACTTCATAACGGCCCCAAAGCCATTGTGACTTTCATTACAGTATATTGTCGTAGTCATTCTATTTTATTGTTATTGTTGTTAATCTCTTACTGTACCTAGTTTATAAATTAAACTTTATTATAGGTAGGTCCGTATAGGAAAAAAAATATATAGAGTTCAGTACTATCCACAGTTTTAGGCATCCACTAGAGATCTTGGAATATATCCCCCATGGATAAAGGGGGGCCGCTGTCCTCAATATTGTTGAAATGTCAGTTCTCTTGAAATCCATACTTATATTTAAAGCAATCCCAATGAAAATGACTTTTCTGTATAAATGATAGATTGACTCTAAAACCTATGTGAAAATGTAAAGCATGCTCAACAGTCATTAATTTTTTTAAAGGAAAAACAAAGTCGAATTTATATGATTTGATTTTAAGATTTAGCGTAAAGCTGCAGTAATGAGGACAGTATGGGTTTGGCATAAGGACATAGAGATCAATGGAAAAGAATAGAAATAGAACTGCACATACATGGTTAATGGATTTGCAGCAAAGGTGCTGAGGCGATTCAGTGGGTGAAAGGGTGGTCTTCCCAGTAGTTTGCTGCATTAACTACGTATTCATGGAGAAAAGTAATGAACGTGGACTCTTCAACATTGTACGCAAAAGTGGATCACAGATCTAGGCATAAAAGCTAAAAGTGTAAAACTTCCAGTAGAAAGCACTTGAGAGTATCTCCGTGACCTCGAGATAAGCAAAGAGATTTTAGACTTCAAAAAGCATAAACCATAAAAGAAAAAAGAGGGATAAATTGGACTTCATGAAAATTAAAATTTTCTGCTTTCCAAAAGACATTAGCAAAATGAAAAAGCAAGCCGCAAGACTTGGAGAAAATGTGTGATATATGTCTATAAGGATGTATTCAGTATATATAAATAATTCATATACCAAAGAAGGTATATGAATAACCAGAAAAGCACATTAGTTATCAGAGAAATTAAAACTCAAGTCACAGTGTAATATCGTCCACAACCATTAGAATGACTAAAATGAAAAGACAAACAGCACCAAATATTGATAAGGGTGGTAGAACAATTAGAGCTCTCAAGCACCGCTGCTGGAAGGATAATGTAGTATATACTCTGGGCGTAGTTTCCCGGTATCTTCACATAAACTTACCATACAGCTCAGTGTTCTCCTCAATTTTTCCATGATGCTTACAATGAGATCAGATAGTGGTTTTATTTTATTTATTTATCTATCTAGCTATCTATTTATTTTATTTTATTTATTTTTCTTGGATTTTTGCATCTGGTATGCAGAATTCATAAATTGAATGTTAAGCTCTATTTTCCCACGCTTTATTCTGTGACATTATGGAGTATGGTACTTTTATAGTGAGTAGCTCTTTGAGAATTCTGTTTCCTGTGTTTGTCTGTTTGTTTAGATCTTCTGTTTCTTCTTTCATAAGTCAAAATAACATATATATATTTTCTTAGAAAATCAATTCCACTCATTTTTTCAAATTTATTGGAAAGATATAACTAAAATGGGCTTTTTATAGATTTAAAAAAATTTCCTCTGTATCTGTTTGTCGATGCATTCTCATTTCTTATTTTGTATTTTTGTTTTCCCTTGACTAGTTTTTAAACATTGTTTAGTGGTAGATTCAGTGTATAATTATTCGTATAGAATCATCTTTTGCATTTATTATGTTCACAGTTTTCTTCATTAATTTCTAATTTATTTTTGCTTTTAGATTGTCTGATTCTTCCACTTCGTTGGTCAAATTTATCATTTTTTTCTTCTTAGTCGAATGTTGTGAATTCAGTTACTTCATTTGTTCTTATTATTGTAACAAATTCAAGTTATGAGTTTTTCCCTGAGAACTGCTTTAGTTGATTTCTGTGTTCTCATAATAATTTGTATTAATGTCGTATGTATTATGCAGTTCATGTTTTACTTCTTTGACCTAAGGACAGTTTTAGACCTTCCTTGAGTCATCTAGGTAAACAGTCATAGTCATAGCCAGTAATTCCAACTTTGCCTGTCTCTGCCTTGGGCTCTTTAGCCTATGGCACAGACTTCTTCCTGAGGAACTAAGCAGAGTTGGCACGGAACAGACAAGTAGGTCAGGCCTTTTTCCATTTCAGAGTAGTCAGCACTTTCGAGGAATTTGCGTTCACCAGACTAAATAAATAACAAGAGTTCTGAGGAGCATCACTACCTATACTCTTAAGGATTTAAAATAAACACGATAAATATTTTGAATGATATACTAAAATAAAAAGAAATATATTTTTGAATGATTATGTAAGGGACGGGGATATGTAGGTAATTAAATGGCTTGGTAAAGTTTCTATTATCTTAATAAAAGCTGAGGAACAGGAAAAATAAAAGGAAAGTGTGTCTGTAAAAACCAGAACAAACAATCTAGTTAATGTCAACACCAAGAAAACTGAGTGGAGAGAAGACCAAGGAATTTGTCAGTGTGGGGAAGTAGTCGTTAGTGGGAAGATGTACTTACCGATAAGTTGAATAAATTCTTAGGAGCACATGAGCAAGAAAATGTAATGTAAGTTAACGACACCATATAAGAACAAATTTATTTAGCTTTAACAAATCAGAAGAAAACACTATTTACCCAATATAGAAAGTAATGGAAGAAAAAAGGAAAGAAAAGAAAGAAGAGTAACTAAGTAATGTCAAATGCTGACTCTTAAAATATCAAAACATATCACCAAGATAACTTGATGAGACAAAGCTGAGCTTAGTGCTTACTGTGGTGAGGTAGACCCACTGTCTCACCAGAGCCTGACAGACGGGGAAGGAAAAGGTTGAGATATTTATTAAACTTTAAAATCTGGTTTACGATGGGCCTTTCAGTTGGAGGATGTTTGGTTATGGTTAGATAAGGATCGTGATATAATAGTTTAGGATTGGTAAGCAGATAGTTTGGAGGCAAAGAGTTCAGCGTTTTGGGGTTTAAGACATTATTTGGTACTCTCTGTTGAATAGTTGATGGTCTTTCAGGAAGTTCCTGGAATAAACAATAAAATTATTTTGCAGCTTTTACCATTTTGAGCAAGAGAGAGACCCCTCAAACAGTAAACTCTTGATGTGTACAGTCTGATAGTAAAGTCGTGTCAGTGTAGACAGTGAGCTGTGTGAGTGATTTTCCTTCTCAGAAGAAAGAAAGAATAATTGCATTCCTGGGTTTGGGGAGGACCCATCTGCTCCCTGTTATTTATTCTTTTACTACGCTGCCATGTTTGTTTCCTGATGTTTTATTCAGAAGTTTCGTAGTTACACTAATTAGTAAGATTGGCCTGTTGTCTTGTCACGTGTTGATAGTCTCTAGGTTTGGTATCAGCCAGCTTTGTTGAATTAGTTTCTCTCTCGCTGAAACATTTCCTTGAAGGTCAGGATTATCTCTTTCTTGAAGGTGGATAGATCTTATTATTTCCATTTTCTCTACTCATATTTTGTTTTATGGCTTCATTTTTCACTGTTATCAACCTGCTTTTTTGGTTGCTAAGGGTTATAGTTTCTATTCCACTACGGTTATGTAGCTTTGTTATACTTTCGTTATTATTTTTGAGTGTATTTTTTTGCCTTTTCTATGAATTTGTACCGGAAGAGCATGGTTGTCTTATGACTTAGTTTGTTGTCTTGAACTACCCTTCCCATTTCTGGAATTAATCTTTTTTTAAAAACCTATCTCAATTAAGTAGATAGATATATTATGATAAGGAAGAAAATAAAGGAGAATTATAATTTAAGTTTTCTTTTATCTTCCCATTAGATGTCAATGTGTCATCTTTAGGAAAATATATTAAACAAAGTATATTATCTATTCTTATAAAAAATGAGCCACGTTGGATATTCTTTTTGGTCCTTATATTTTTACTTTGACTTGCTTTTTATACATAAAAAGTTATAATAGACCTTATTTGGAGACCATCTTTTTTTTAAATTTAATTTTATTATTAGTTTCAAATATACAGTACATTGCTTAGACATTTATATAATTTATAAAACGATCCCCCTAATTGCTCTTTCTCTCCTCTGGCTCTCCACCTAGCCGTTAATGCTAACTGCATTCCCTATGCCATGTTCCACATCTCCGTGACAATTTGTCAACTACTAAATTGTACTTCTTTAACCCTTCACCCCTTTTTCCCAGTCCCCCACCCCCCTCTCCCCTCTGGCCGTTACCAGATTGTCCTCTGTATTCGTGAGTCTGTTTTCGATTTTTGTTCCTTAGATTCTGCATATAAGTGAAATCATATAGTATTTATCTTTCTCTGTCTGACTTATTTTACTCAGCATAATAACCTTGAGGTCCATTCATGTCATTGCAAATGGTAGGATTTTATTTTTGAATAGAGCTGCAGTGAACATAGGTGTGCCTAGATCTTTATGAATTATTGTTTTGGTTTTCTTTGGATAAATACCCAGAAGTGCAATTGCTGGGTCAAAAGGTATATATTCATTTTTAATTATTTTGAGAAACCTCCAGACTGTTTTCTGTGGTGGCTGTACCAATTTGCTATCCCACCAACAGTGTATGAAGGTACCTTTTTCTCCACATTGGAGGACATCTTTTTAATGACAGTTTTTCTCCTCCAAATACAGGAAGTTCACAGATGGGAGCTACCATAGTAGATGCTTTGGATACCCTTTATATCATGGGACTTCATGACGAATTCCGAGATGGGCAAAAATGGATTGAAGACAACCTTGATTTCAGTGTGGTGAGTATACAATTGATAACTTTTTGGACTGACTGTGAAAATACACAGTGTCTGACCACAATAGCTTTAAGCATTATACCAGTAGTTTAAGGAAATCCTAAATCTCCTTTCTTCTTTTGGGATTATCAGTTATTACTTAATTTTTACATAAAATAAACACTTTTTCTCCCCACTTTCCTTTTGCTTTTCTTGTCCTTATCATATGGGGTGAAGCAGTATGTTAAATAAGTGTGTTAAGGTAAGAGTTGGTGGGGAAAAAGCAGAAAACTAGAAATATCAGTATAGTATAAATTGCTTTACAAATAATGAGTGCTTTATTATTTGTTTTAAGATTTAGTGATTTGGCTCAGCTTTGACAAGCCTCCCTAATTAGGCCTATGCCCATCCTTCCAGTATTCTGGCATAGTTGTTAAGTGGTACTGCTTAGGCTTTACATTTTAGCTGTGTGACTTGGGAAAGTTTCTTATTCTTTCTAAACCTGTCATGAAATTGCTATCCTATTGCAATATTGCAAGTATTGTTTGAGATAATCTGGTACATACAAGGTGCTCAGTAAATGGTAACAATTATTTTCATTATTACCAGTCTTCATCTAAAAGATGTGTGGACCCTTTTGTCTTCTTCATCATCATGATATCTGTGCTTCCTGTTCCTTCTGACTGTAGTTGGAGGTCACCCGATGTGTTTCACTTTTTGGCAGACCCTTCATCATTCAAATCGTGATTTAAATCCATAAGCATTTCTTCTCTGATGTCTTTCCTGATGCTAACTGGATAAAATCTGATTACTTTCTTTATATTATTTATATTATTCTAATATTTTGCATATATTTCAATAAGAAAAATTTTTATTATCAGTTAGGTTTAGATTTGGCTGTGGGTGGCAGAAAACCTAATATAAAGTAGCTTAAACAAGATATTTATTTCTCACTCATCCATATTAAGTGCAGAGAAAAGCAGCTTAGGGCTGGTTTGGGGAGCTCCTTGATTATCAGGGACCTGGGGTCTTTTGTCTTGTTGCTCTGTCAACTTCAGTATATAGCTTCTGCCTCATGGTACCACCTCAAAATAAGGTGAATAAATCTTTCAGCTGCAGAAAAGAAGGGATAGAGGAAAGATAGGTGACTGTCTTTTAAGAACAATTCTGAGGAGTGGGTCACCCCGGTCTTGCTAGAGCTTACTCACGTGGCCCCATCTTACTGTGCATGGAGGCTGAGGGGGCGTAGTCTTTTCTTTCTCTTTGGCTACGTAGCATTGTACAGGTTATACTTTTTGTACCTTAAAAAAGCCCTTAAGGGTCATGAAGATATGTTACTATACTTAATTTGAGATGTTTTAACATTTGCTTTTGCATTTGGGTCTTTAATCCTTCTGGAATTGTTTTTTTCTATAGGATGAGACAGGCACTATCCACCCTAGCACGTTTATTTCCCCACTGTTTACACATGCCACGTTGGTCATATTAGTCTGTTCTTTTCCATTGGCCTTGTATTCTTTATCCGTACATCATTATTAAACTTTCTTAACCACAATGCTTTTATAAAAAGCTTGATATCTACATTTGAATCTTGATATCTGATCTCGTTCTACTAGGAAGTTATCTTAATTCTCAACTCTTTGTTCTTTTAGGCTCTGGAGTATGGTTGAAATTTAGTGAGGATTACGTTCAGTTTATAGATTAATTTGGAGAGAATTGGCATCCGTGCAATCTCAGATACTCCTGTTCATTAGCGTGGCAGCTTTAGTGTGTCTGATAATTTGCTGGTATGTCATTGCATCCGTTGGCTGGAACTAGAACTATACCATTTATTTTAATTAGCGTATTTAATGTTTAGAATTGTTAACCAAATAATGGGGAACTGAAAAGGCAAAAAGAACATCGTGGTATCACAAGGGCCGGTAACTGCAGTAAACAGCTGCCTCCCCTGGGTCTGTGAGAACGATGTGAAGAGGTCGGGATAATTAAAATTCAGTAGCTTGAGACTCTGTTTCTGGCAGCTGAGGAGCTCTTACCAGGGCTCTCAGAGCTGGGACTTAGCCCTCTAAGGCATGGGCACCTAGCTGGTGCTTGGTATCGCTGAGGACCACGACGAGGCTGGTTTGGTGGGAGGGAGGGAGAGAGGGTGTGTGTGTGTGCATGTGTGTGCGTGTGTGTGTGTGTGTGTGCGTGTGTGGCCGCAGAACTGAAACCTGGAACCAGCTGCCTCTGCCGGTGCGGAACCATGGTTGGTTTGACACTGTCAGAAACTAGAGGTGAATCGGAAGGAATGAGTCCCTCCTCCTTCCTCTAGCCTTGTATCAGTAAACCCCCTAGTGGCACGGCCTACAAGGCAGCCAGCTGGCAAACGAAAAGTGCATTTGCAGAGTTCCAATTCCAGTAATACCAAAGTGGAGTACAGAAGGGTGGATTTGAACCTGAGAAAGGGTGACTTAATAATCAGCACAGTCATTCACTATCCCTTTACTTTTAACTTTTCTGTGTCATATGTTTTAGCTGTATGTTATGCATATAGTGGCATTTGGATTGTTGTTACTTTTGTCCAGTCTTGGAGTTTTTTGACTGTTAAGTTTGAAATATTTACATTTATTATGATAACATATTTGGGGTTGAGCCTTCCATCTTCATTTAGCTACCTATATTATTATTGTATTTTTCAGTTGCTTTATTTTCTGTCTTCTTCATTTTGGATTAAATTATTTCACATTTCTTTTTCTCTCTATTAGTTTGACACTTATACTTTCCATTTCTATTCATTTTGAGGTTACCCTTCAAATTTTATATGTGTTCTTATCAAAATTTACAATTAATCAGTTTCTCTGCCCTCCTTTTGATGGACACGTGGATCTTAGAATCCTTTAACTTAGGTCATCTCCGTCTTATTTTACGTGTAATTATTGTCTGGTTGGTCTCAACTTGTATTTGAAACTTCCAAATAAAGGAATGAATAAATAAATATCTTTATTGAATACCTTCTCTGCGACAGACACTGTTCTAGATTCTGTGGCTACAGGAATGAATGAAACAGAGTCTTCTCTCTTTCTTGAGTTAATATTCTAATTTTGGGAGAAAAACATTTGTTAACTTAAAAATAAAAAGCCAAACGTAAGGGGCAACAAGCATTTGAGTTAAAAAATAATTGCAGTCTGGGGTCAGAGATTCAAGCAGAAACCCAAATTATGTCCCAATTAGGTGAAAGCAAGGGATTTTTATGAAAAAGGGAAGGGAAGTAATTACATGGTTGAAAAGGAAGGAATTTCTGTTAGTGCTAATAAGTTAAGTTATTCTCTAGGTAATATCCTCGGTGGTGCTAATTCTAGAGAATGTCCTTCATTTTCAGTCCTTATAGTCAGGCTGTCTGTTTTCCTGTCAGCTTTACAAGCAGTTGTTTGGAAGATAATGCTGCTTTAGCCCGGCCCAAAGGTTATTTTGCCCAGTTCAAGCATCCAAAGGTTTGAGGAGTACGACATGTTCCTCTGGGATGGCGGCTCCAACTCCATTTTGAGGCCCGGCCCAAAGATTATTTTGCCCAGTTCAAGCATCCAAAGATTTGAGGAGCACGACATGCAAGGCTGTTCCTCTGGGATGGCGGCTCCAACTCCATTTTGAAATGGCTCCATTTATATCATTTTCCAGGTTATATATAGTACATCAGTTAGTGTTAAGTGCTGTGGAGAACCATAAAGAAGAATAAGTAGGATTGGAGTAAGTAGTGGGGGGGTTGCTATTTTACAGGGGTGGCTATTGAAGGATTCTTTGTTACAGTGACATTTCTGAGGGGAGACCCAAGGGAAGCCATGTGTATATAAAACTCTCTCCTAATAGATATATTATAGCTGAGTATAGAATTAGAGGTTGATGATTATTTTCTCTAAACCTTTTAAAGGTACAGTTCCATTGTCTTCTTGTTTCTGTTATATTATTGAAAAGTGTGCTATTGGTCTAATTTTTCAAAGATAATCTTTCTTGACCTTGTTTTAATATTTTGATATTTGTTTTGCTATACTGTAATTCCATTACCATGTATCTGTTATTCTTTAAAGGACTCGTAATGTTTCATCGGCCTGAGGATTTCTGTTTTCATCAGTTTTGGAAGATTCTGTCATTGCTCCTTTGAATAATGCCAGTCTCCCATTCTCTCCCTGCTCTCCCTCTAGAACTTACCTCTGTCTCTATTGTGAGGGAAGGTATGGCCTTTACAAATAAATTTAATAGTAATCAGATGATAACTGTTAACCAGAGAAATAATGCAGGGTAAGAATATTAGTGATAAAGGATTATTTTTATATCGTGTAGTCAGAAAAACTTTCTGATAAGGTGACATTTGTTCAGAGACCTCCAGGTAAAGTACAGTGTGAAGATTGACACGGGAGTGAATTTGGCAGTTCTGGAACAGCAAGTAGATCCATTTGGTAGGAATAAAGTGAGTCACAGGAATATTGGTAGGAGATGACAGAGAGGTCGTGAGGTATCTGATTATGTTGGGTCTTATCAGTCATTCTGAACGCAGCCAGAAGTCATTGTGAGGATTTGCACAGAGTGCGCAGAGTAGTAGCCTACACTGACTTAAGATTTAAAAGGCTCACTGTAGCTACAGAATAATGAATAAATAGAGTGTAGGGAGGAGGGTAAGGATGAAATCAGGGAAACCGGCTGGAAGAGTATTGTTCTGGTGATGGAAGTCCTCCCTCCCTCGTTCCCTTCTCTGTGTTTGGTGAATGTCTATTACAGTATGCTATATATTGGGAATATGTGAAGTAATATAAAGCACTTCGCTTTTGAGGATGGATGTGATGACAATTATGTTATTAAAAAATTACATCGTATTGTGAAAATACTATACTAGAGAAATATACTTTTGTTAGCAAATGATGTGTTCTGCCTGTGAATATCGGAAAGATTTCAAAGTAATATATATTTCCTTTTAATTCTTATTTAAAAATCATAAATGTTTATATTGGTCATTGTGTTTATTCTATGGATTCTTTGGTCATGTTCTCTGCCAGTTCTCCTTTTCTTTCCATGTATTAGAATTTTTCTCAGCAGTATTTATATCCATATTTAAATACACACATATAGAGTAATATGTAGTAATGTTATTAATACTGCTATATTTGTGCCAAATTTCCTTTAGTTTGTTGTTTGCCTTTTAATTTTGTTCATAATTTTTTTCCTCAGGTATTTTATATTTTGGAGAAAGTTCAAGTTTTTCTATCATCATTTGTTATCAGTGCTATTGATTTTATGCTTACAGAGGACCTGCTTTCTCAAGGAATTTTAAATATTGTCACATTTTCTTCTACTTTTTTGTAATTTTTTCTGTATTTCTAAATCATTTGGACTTCATTTTGATATATATATGAGTATCCAAATCAATTTCGTACCTAGGAGTCAGTTTTCTCAACATTATTAATTGAATAATCCATCATCCTATCATCATTGTGGTGCCTCTTTTGACCCTTATTATTACATATATTAGCAAAATATTTAAAATTCATGAGGAGAGAGACAAGCAAAAATAGACATTACACTGTAGGGATTAGGACAAAGAAAAGGACCAGTAGGGAGAGCGCTAATTCCAGAATTCGGGAAGTGAGGCTTTCAGGAGGAGAGAATAGTCAGCAGTGCCAAACAGCTTGACGATTTCACATACGTAAGGTACACGAAAATGGCCCATTGTTTTTGATAGTTAGGAAACCCCGGTGACAGTAACGGAGGAGTTTCAGTAACATTAACAGATGGGAGGCGAGATTGCAGTTGCGTGAGAAACGAGGATGTAGAACGCGGAAAAAACGTTCTCCACGATGTTTGCAAGAAGCATATGAAGAATTGAAAACATTTTGAAAACTATAAAGCTTCATGTACATGTGAATATTTTCAATATGTTTTCACAGAATTCAGAGGTGTCAGTGTTTGAAGTCAACATTCGCTTTATTGGAGGCCTGCTCGCAGCATATTACCTTTCAGAAGAGGAGGTGAGCAAAATCAAGTAATACCTTGTTTGTTTTGGGGAAGAGGTTGTGAATGGAATTTAATAAAATGAAAGGTTTCCCCAGGAGCATACCGTTTTTCTTAATTATCTAATATTGAACTAATGTGAAGAGTTGCCGAAAGAACTGGAGGCATCAGGTAGGACTGTTCCTAGGGAACAATGGTTTTTCCATTTGAGAATCTCAGTAAGACATAAATTCATCACAGATCCTAGCTTTATATACATACACCACGTCTCCTTTGCAGGAGCCGTCCTTCTCCAAGGCTTTGCTGCTGCGGTTAATGAATGACATGGGCAGACAGGGGCGGGGAAGGTTAATAAGACCAGATCAAGGAGTGAATCAGGAAAGATGAATATGGATCCTCTTAATACTAAAAATTAATTATTAAAACCAACTGTTTGAAAATTGAATATGTGTGTGTGTGTGTGTGTGTGTGTGTATTTTTTTTTTGCTGTAAATTAAAAAACAACAACAACTCAATTCTCCTTTCTGGAAGTTTCGGTGTGATACACGCAGACACACGTGAGACCTCCCGTGGTGGGGCAGTGGGTGTGGCACATTCCTTTTCATGACTCAGGTGGTTAAAGAGTGACCTTGGAGAGCGGCTGAAGGAAGGGGGTTAAGTCATTTATGTTTTCTGAGAAGCTGGTCTGTTGGTCTAAATGATTGTAAGAGTTCTTTGAAAATTTAAGAAAATTCATCTTTTGTTATATGTGTTGTAAAGATGGATTTTTATGTTGTCTTTAGTTTTTATTTATTGTGGTTAACCTTAAAGTAGTCATTTTTAGGAAAGCCTTCCCCATTTTTAAGATTTTTCTTTTTATCTTCTAGATTTTATTCCTCAGAAAGCCTTCCCCATTTCATCTATTTTTGTGTGCTTATATGAATAAAGAGTGAGATATTCATGTACTAGTTTTTTAGAAGTAATATGTTTGAAGGTGCTGGTCTTTAATATATAATATTAGATAAATAACAGTTATTTAATTTGTAATTTTATTGTTAGGCTTTATTATGTACCTTTGTTATACTTTCAACCTGTCTTTCTATAGCAAGAACACTTCAGTTCACATTTAATTTTTAAAAAGTGATTTATACTCTGGCCAAGAGGTTTTCATACTTCAGTGTGTATCAGAATCACATAGGGTATTTTTTAAAAATGAAGATTCTAAGCTCTACTCACAGGACTGGGATTCATCTGGTTTAGTATGGAGACCATTATTTATGTTTTTATCAAGACTCCTTGTTAAAGTGATTTTGGTAATGATGGTTCTGTTCCTTGAGAAACTGTGACCTAGATTGGTTCTGTTCCTTGAGAAACTGTGACCTAGATATTTGAATAAAATCATTGTAAACTGATAGTATGTTTAATGTCAAGTTTATTGAGATAGTACTTATTACATAGAGTAAAATTTCTCAGCTCCGTTCAGTCTATTTTTGAGCTTGTCGAAGGCATTTGGCATCTCTGTTACTTTGACTTATTATTATTATTATTACAATTTTTATTTCTCTTAAAATTTCTCATTGTCTTTGTGCATGTTTTCCACCTTATCCACCAACTAGGTCTTTTAACATAGTAATCATAGTCATTTTAAATTGTTTCGATCTCACCGCGTCTGGTTTGTCGCTCGCTTTATCTCTAGAAAGTGGATTATTTTTTCTTGCTTTCATAGGGATTTTGTAATTTTCGATTGAATGTCAAATATTGTGCATGGGCCAGTAAAGACTGAGGTTAGTAATATTTATGCCAGTGTCGTTGGGTTAGGAGTCGAGTCCTTTTAGCCTGGAGTCGAACCAGGTTTGGGTTTTTTATTGCTAAGATCATCTGCAGTGCACCACTAGCTTCAGATTCCTCTGCCGTTACCTTGTATTTAGATTGGGCCTGGTTTGCAGACAAGGTTCTCTTAATGTTCTCGCTCTGCCCTCCACTCGAGGTGCGCCTTGTACGCCTGTGCCTCGTAGATGGTCTGTCTCTTTGTCCATACTCTTCCGTTTTGATCTATATGTATTGGAAGCCATGAATTCACACCAATAGCCCAACACCAGAAGGCGCGTTCTAGCTCTCTGCCTTTTCACATTTCTAATCCTCTTTTGCAACGTGAGACACCTGCCTCCTAATATTTTTCACATATTTACCTACTTGCCTAGTCCTGCTGTATCAAACCACTTTCCCGAGCTCGCCAGGCTGCGGCCTTGTCAGGTGCATCCTCTCCCCCGGCCTCCTCTGAGACTTCAGCCCCCCTGCTTGGTTGGCCTCCTTTCCTCGCGTGGGTCCCAACCCCTCTCGGGACTCTGCCGCCGACTCTGGTCTCACCTTCCGCACACAGACCTCTGACTTCAGGAGCTTCCGGAGTGAAATGTTCAACAGCAGAGGGAGGAAGAAGATGGAACTGTTCTGACGCCTTCAGTGTCAGAATTCCCCCAGCTGTCCTTGAGAACGAAGAGCATTTCCCCCTTCTCTTCATGCTTATCTGACTGTAGAGAGGAAGGACTAAAGTTTTAGTGTGTAGTTGGCTGTTTCACATTAGGCTCCTTATCTGAAGGTTCAAGCAGAAGGTTGAAATTTGGGTTGCTCTTGTTATAGGAAAACACTAAAATGCTGAAAACATATATGATGTTACTGGTATTTCTATATTTTGCCGTTTTTATGCCTCATCCTTCAAGAAGAAACATTTTGAGGTGGAGGGACGCACATACACTTTGGAGCTGGTGATTTGAGTCCTTACTCTGTCTCCCTTTCATGAGAGTCTTGGCAAAGTATTTACCTTCAATAACTTAAGTTTCTTCATCTATGAAAATGTGAGAGAGTTTGCTTAAGAGTTGTGAGGTTAAGTAGGCGAAGGTGCCTAACATAATACCTGACTCCGTAGATTACTTCTCTTCCTCATTTGACATTTTCCTGTGTGGTGAATATTCTGTTTCTCATGGGTGGGGAATCCTTTTACTATTTTAAAATAGATACCATATGTTAATTTCTTAGGATACAGTCTACTCAATTAAAAAGTAAAGAGAACATGTTTTACTTTTCTGACTTTCTCATGCAATAGAATTTTGCTGACCATTTTACCCTTCTCCTTGATCAGTTTACATTGAAAACACTAATCCATATGTATTCTGGGAAATCAACAAATCCCTGAGGTCTACTAAAAATAAATAAAACATAGAAAAGTAATTCGAATATGAATTATTTTAATATTGGAAAAACAATAAGTTCCTATGTCTCATATACCCCGGAACATTAACATATAGCATGGCAAAGTGCCTTTCTTATACAAAACGTTACATGCGTTCTGTTTTTCTGGTATAGGGAACCAAATGAGGGTTGTCGGCCATCCTAACAAAGTGTTCCTCTCTCCTGTTGATTTATTAATATCATAAATGTGAATTTTATCATTTTCTCAGAACAAAGCTATTTATATTAACTATTCACTGGTTTAAAAATCTCGATGATTTATTATGTTTACTAGATGCTTGTTTCAAATATATGGCATTTCTTTTACAAGATTGTCTCTTCTCATTTTTTTAATGGTTATCAAAGTGGCATCCTTCCCTGAGTAAGATAACAACATAATTTATGAGGATCACTGCATCTCTGAAATCTGTCAGATAAAATAGAGGAATGGGTATGTGGAGTTTAATCCATATTTCACAGATAATAAAAACAAAAGAAACAACAACAGCAGCAGCAGAGTTTTTCTTTACCAAAATACAAATGGCACTGTATTGCCTCTTGGTTAAGATCATTTTTGAATAAGTTCAGCGATATTTTCTAAGACAAACAATATTCTCTTCTGACCTAAGGTCCTTTAAAGTTCTGAGTAAAAAAAAAAGAGTTCACATATTAATTTTTCCTGATATAAATGCTAGCCATTATTGTCCTTATTGTACTAATTCTCTTTGTATTTTTGGATGACTTGATATTGCTCCAGAAATTGCTGCTATTTCCATTGAAAATTCAACTTCTCTATTTTCTACAGATGTGCTGGTAATTGGGCAAAACATTCCACTAAGCTTTGCTGACCCAGATAACATTTTAAAGAACACTCTCCAACATTTTCCTCTTAAATATGAGAGTTTATCTACACATTTATACACATTTATACATGTGTAAAGTCACAATACTAATACTAATTCATAGTTGACGATTATGGTTATGATTACTGGTTTGACAAATCAGAACAGTTGGGAGTTACCACAGGAGCTAGAATTTTAGGGGTGAAATCCAGGAAAGAGGGAGCACAGAAGAAGCCCCAGATCTGCATACATGAAACTGTGTATTTAGACCACATTGTTTTATTTCTCTGTGTGTTTATAGAGGTATACCATAATTTTCTGCCAGAAATAGACTCTCATTCTTCCACATTCTCTGCTGGTAAAGAACTCTGGAGCCCAGCTCAAGGCCCAGATTACTTTAAGCAACTTTATTGAGATTAATTTAAATACAATAAAATGCACCCACTTTAAATGTATGTAATTGAGTGTGTAGTTTGAATTTTAACAAAATGTGTGATAAGCTGTTGGAGGGAATACAAATGATACAACCTCTGGAAGATAATTTGATGTCAAGTAAACATTTAAAATTTAAAATTGTCTTTGACCCAGTAACCCACTTCTAGGAATACATTCTCCAAAAGTAACAATGTGGATACACAAGGTCTACTTAGAAGGATATTTCATTTCAGTAGTCAGTATTTGAAAAGACCTGAATCTTCATCTAGAGGAGAATGGTTGAATCAATTAATACATCTCTTACCATAGGATACTGTACAACTACGAACATAACTATGATATATTATAACTAGGAAAAATATGCTCAATATATTTAGTGAGAAAAGCACATTACCGACCAATAGTTACAGCTTGGCATGTGTGTGCGTGTGTGTGTGTTCCTTTCATCTGGTCAGTTAGCTATTGCAGTATTTGGGGCAAGAAATAATGGCACCTTGGACTAGGATGGGTTGTAGGGATGAGATTGGGTGATATTT